ATGATACAAACTAAACTCATCTGAGAGAGGGAACCTCAATTAAGAATAATGCCTCCATATGATCAGGTCATAGGCAAGCTTGTAAGGCATTTTCTTAATTAGCGATTGATGGGGAAGGATCTAGTCCATTGTGAATAATATCATCTCTGGGCTGGCAGTTCTGGGTTCTATGGGAAAGCAGGCCAAGCAAGCCAGAAGGAGGAAGCCAGTAAGCAGCACCTCTCCGTGGCCTCTGCATCAACTCCTGCTCCAAGTTCTTTCATTGCTTCATCTCCTGCTCTGACCTCCTTTGAGAATAAACAGTGAAATAGAAGTATCAGCCAAGTGATTTCTTTCCTGTCCAAATTACTTCTTGACCATAGTGCTTTATTGCAGCAATAGAAACTCTAAGTAAGCCAGTAGTCACAAACTCAAAACCAGTAGCAATCTATGTACTCTCTTGGATCTTCTTACATTGCAGGTGCTGAGATAGCAGTTCTCACAAGGGAATCACCAGAGGATTCTTGGCCTATCTGACTTGAGACAGCCATGATTGCACTACCTGGACTATAGCTGTATCCCATTCTAGTACTCCCCTTTTTAAATATGTATATATTCACTGTATCAGGTCTGTTCCATTGGAGAACCTGACTAATATGCTAGGACACAGTGATTATTAACAGGTAATCTTGGAGTAAACGGATTAATTTGAATATAAAATACAAAATATTATAAATACAAAAAAACTGTGTTGTCTCTAATACTTAATTCCAGGGGGGGTGTGTGTAGTGGTATTTGGTCCTCCCATAACCTTGGGCTATATGGCCCAAAGGAGGCCGTGCTTCTTGCAAATACCACTACACCTGAGTGTGTGTGTGTGTGTGTGTGTGTGTGTGTGTGTATCTTCACTGGTACTGATTTTTGATACAACTGTGACTTTTGTAATTAATCAGCAATTAATAAGATGATTTTTACCACTGCCATATCACAGAGGTTATAGCCAAACACCATCTTGAGAAGGTGCCCAATTCTTGATATTGAACGTTTTGGAGGATTTCAAAATAAGAATGACAATTTTTTGTTTCTAACTCAGGAACAATTTGGTACATAGTCAGTATAGAATATAACCACATTAGGTAGTCATATATGACGTTCTGAGGAAAATGGATAGATTGAAGAGCAGGAAATTAAGGCTATGAAGATTATGCAATTTCTGGTCTCATCCTCTAAAGGAAGGGGTAAGTTCTTTCATATGTGGATAACTGGAGACAGTAACACCTACAAGATCCATTTTTTTCTGTGTTCCCATATATGCTTTGCCAGGAAGCATTGAGAGTTTTGGGCTTATGTCCTTACTCAATTCCATAGAGTCCTGCATCCACAGTGTTATTACTTCTGAGTAGTATTTAATACACAGAAACTGGGCAGTAGAATCTCTGTTCCCCAGCTCTCCCCTTCCAGAGCTGACCTCAGTTCTTCGGTCATATTCCCTGCTCTCATGTATTCTCAACACACTACTTGGCTTGAATTTTTACCATTATGTAAATAAGAATGCTTCTAATAAGAATAAGAAACATCCCAGTTGATAAAGAGCACAAATAATATAGGTGTAACCAGGCACATTTTGATTAGATTTAATGCTCATTCTATGATGTTGAACTCATACCTGATACTGCCAAAGTGAACTAGAAACTGAAACTAGATATTCAATGGACTGGTGGGGGGGAAACCTACTAATATAATTCAGCTAAAGGAACATAGCAATAAAAATGACTCCCAATGACATGTTTTCATACCCATGGAGCAGAGCATCACTTATCAGAGGAACTTCTTGCATTATGTACATAGGTACCCACAACTAAACGATGTGTAGAGAATGAGACATTTTTTTGAGAAGCCATCCCTAAACGGGATATCGTCATCAAAACTTCCTCTCAAGGCTCAGAGATCTACATGGAAGAAGAGCCAGAAGGATCTAAAGAGTCAGAGGTGGTGGATTTCTCCAAGGAAGAGCATCCTAGAGATGCACCAGCACTAATGCACATTTGAACTCACAGGAACTGTGACAGCACCCACTAGAAGTGCAAAAGTCCAAAACATGAAGAGAGGGAAGTGGACACGTGTCTGAGCCCTACGTGAGAATCTCTTTACAAGTTATGCCAGCTGGGAATGAGAAAAATCAGTTTTCCCCAGTGAAGTGTCACTGAGTATACCAACTACACAGACCACACAAAATGGACACCATGCTTTTCTTACACTTTTTATGTTTTGTTATTTTTTTCCCTAGTGGTTTTCTCATTTTAGTTTGTTTGTTTTAACTTTCATCTTTTTGTTTTATGTTTTTGAGAAAAGAATGAATATAGTTGAGAGAGAAGGTGGAAATGATATGTATGTTAGAGAAAAAGTGTGATCAAAATAAAATGAATGAAAATTTTTCATATAAAAATTATTAGTGATCTGGTTGATGAGATGACTCAGAGGTTAAGGGCAATGGCTGCCCTTCCACAGGTCCTGAGTTCAATTCCCAGCAGCTACATGGTGGCTCACAACCATCTATTATGAGATCTGGTGCCCTCTTCTGGCAGGTAGGCAAACATGCAGAAAGAACACTGTATATATAATAAATAAATAAATAAATAAATAAATAAATAAATAAATAAATAAATAATACATCTTTAAAGATATTACTATTGACCATTGTGGATTAAATTAACTGAATGAAGAAATGACAATTCATATCCATACTAAGAAATTTCACAAAGGGTTAGAAATTATGAAAGAAAATCAACCTTAGAACTATGAAACTGACTGAACTCCCCAAAACACAGTGAAAGTACCAGAGTAGCAGTGTAGACCAGGGAGGAAGCCAATGCCATATGTGGAAAGCAGTGTTGAGAAATCACTAAATTGGATGATTATGGAGACAAAAATCATGCATGACCCTAATGTCCAGGACATCTGGATAGGAGGAGGTCATACAAACGTGGTGTCTTTGTGGTGCCTCCCTGCCATGCATCACGGAGGGGTTAACTACTCTGTTGCTATTTTGATTTAGCTGGCATAGAAGCCTCTCTACTTCTACAGAACCCTGGTTTCCATCACCTTACCACATTTCCTTTCCTTTTCCCCACTGAAACTTTACAATAAGTGTGCCATATTGTGGGTTTTACTGTGACATTTTGAAGCGTGTATGTCATTGTCTACTCCTCATGTCGATCCTCCCCGTTACAGTCATTGACATTCTCACAAAATCCCTTGAACCATTGGTCTTCCCAATCATCTCCATTCTACTTTCATGTATATGTTCATCTTATAAGTGAGCAATGTGATATTTGAGGGTTTGAGACTTACTTCTTTTACTCACACGAAAATTTCAAGTTCCATCCATTTGTCCTGTGAATAATATATTATTATTCTCTAACATTGAATTAAACTTCATGATATTTATTCATCAATTTTTTTAGTTTATTGTTTGTAATCATTTGATAAATTTTTGTTTTATTTTTTATATTTGTACTATTTAAAACAGTGTATAAACTTAAATATGCTATCACTCCCAAAGTGCATTCAAATTACCTCCCTGTCTGCCCTACACTAAGGTTATTGAACATTTCTTTAAGGGTTTTTAGCCATTTGAGTTTAAGCTTTTGAGAATCCTCTGTTTAGATCTGTACCCCATTTTTAATTGGATTATTTGTTTCCTTGAGATCAGCTTTATTGAGTTCATTACATATTTTGGATATATTTTCCCACTCTGTAGGCTGCTGCTTTGTGTGAATGATGGTGTCACTAAGTTACTGTTGGTCAGAGACTTTTATTGCAGCCATAAAAGGAAAGCAGGAGAAAGACAAAATAGAGCCCTGTATTCCCTAAGAAGGTGGTGCCTTGAACATTGTGAGAAACCAGAAAGTGTTAAATCAGAAAGAATGCAATGAGCAAGAGCTCTCTATAAGCAGACAGACTTCATGGAAGGCCATGACTGGGGAACACTTTCAGGAAGTACATGGAAGTAGGCATGGGTATTTGTTGGTGATGGAGAGATGGAAAGATATAAAAGGTCAAATAGGATATGCTCTTCATCATCTGAGACCACACAGTAGGAAAAGAGTGGAAGCCTAGTGGGCATGCAAATAACAAAGCAATTCTGACCATAACCAGTTCTATATCACCTTCCAGGTGTGGGGTAGCATTCATGAACAACCTTCTCTGAATCTTTGCTTTCTAGCTGTGGCACTGGAATACCACTAGAGAAGGGAACCTTAAGTAAATGTGAACATGTCTAAGGGATTTCTCAAGACAGTACATGCACATTAGTATTATTGTGTGAGATAAACAGGAGGCAGATTGCTCAGAGATGTGAGTGGTTTAGATCCAGAACCTCTTATTTCTTCTATAGAAACAGAAGTGGGAATTGGGGTTTCCCAGTGAGACATTATCTAAGCAGGACACCCACTCTCATGATGGAGTAGAACTGCATTGGCATGAACATTTTTAGGTAGAGAGCCTGCTCTGTTGGTGCAACCTACAGTCCAAGCATTAAGCAACCTGAAGAAAGAAAATGACAAGTTCAAGTCCTGCCAGGATTATAGAGCAAGACTTTACATCAAAGCACTCAAAATGAATATAGGGAGGGAACTCAGAAGCCAGGGTGGTTAATCATTGCTAAGATTTACACTGGGAACAAAGAGTTTCTGCCATAGTTAAAGAAATCAGTAGTCTTATCTACCACAGAACATATGTATACTTTACAACTTGAAGTTCCCCAGATATACTAAGGAAGAAAAATCTTTAGCTCAGCTACTTAGACATAACTTTTCTTGAAAAAGTAAAATGAAAGAAACTCCCTACTATGGTTCCACTGAAATTATTGTTGTGTCTCATATGTTGCTGATGACTGTTTCTTGACCCACTTTGAGTCCAGGATAACTTTCAATGGAGAATGTCTGCCTGATCTCAAAGCCCTCAGGTAAGAGCTTGCCTCTCAGAGGTAAGGGACTAGAAAGGTCAGACAGAGGAACAGGTAGTGATGAAAAATGCACTTTATTGAAACAGTGACTGAGGAGGGATTGGGGATCTCTAGTTGGCAGCAATTGTGTCCTGAATCCAGTCCACATAGTTGCAGACCTTGGTGTACACACCAGGGAGGTTCTTCTGGGCACAGCCATAGCCCCAGGAGACGATGCCCTGAAGTTGTCCATTGCAGACCACAGGGCCACCAGAGTCACCCTGCAATGGAGAAATACAGTGTTTTAAGAAGCGGCATGAAGAAAAAGGGTCACATCTGCTCTTACCTTAAGACCCATTCTAGTCACCTTCTGACTCCATATGTTTTTCATTGAAACACATCCTCTAATCTTACTAATGATATGAAAGGGCATCCAGGGTAGAGAGCACTTTCCCTGATCCCACTGCATAATCTTTCTAGTCTCACAACTTTGAACTCTCAAATCTCTCTCCCAGGAGAAGGGTTTCATATGCAAAGGGAGCCCCTCACCTGGCAGGAATCCTTGCCTCCCTCAAGGAAGCCAGCACAGACCATGTTGTTGGTGATTTTCCCAGGGTAGGAGGCTTCACAGGCAGCCTGAGACAGCAGTGGGGCATCCAGGCACTGGAGCAGGTCTGGGTTATTCACTTTGAGAAGAGGTAGTGATCAAAGGAGAAATATGTATTAGAGCACCCTGGGGAACAATAATTTATCCCTGAACACCATGGCTAACTGCCAGAGAATTCATTAAGTATATAAATTCCAACAAAGAATTAAAGCTTTCTCAAACTATAAAATGTCCATTGTTGATCCTGTTTTCAGTATAATAACACAGTGTATATTTGTTCTCTTTAGGTTACAGGAAGTGAACTTCTTGGTACTTTTTAGTACTTTCTTTTACTAACGATATATTTCTTATAGTTAGTAGTTCAAACATATTTGGAAAGCAAAAGCAAATAAATTCAAATCCAGAGACATGTCTGGTTTTGGAAACATGGGGAGGAAAGAATGGAGTAGGTAAATGTCATACTTACCACCTAAGCTAAGGGTATTGCCCCAGCCAGAGATGAGGCACTGAGTGCCAGCAGGTGCACAGGAGGTGGGCAGAGCTACAGTGGCCACTCTGGCATTGAGGGTCACAGGGGAAGCTAGCTTGATGAGCATGATATCATTGTCCAGGGTCTTCGAATTGAACTTGGGATGCCTGATGCTTTTGGCAGCAGTGACAAACTGTTCATTGCCCTCAAGGACATTGATGTTGTGCTCTCCCAGTCTCACTTGGATGCGGCTGTTGGAAAGAAAAGACATGGTTCAGAGTTTCAACACGTTATCCCAAACACACCACAGGTTCCAAGTCTTCATGTTCAGGAGTAGCTCAAAGGAGAAGCTGAATCTTTGTTAACTGGAGTAGGAACTATGACAAATACTTTTTGCTTTGTTAAAAACTATTACTATGTAGAACCTAATCCTGTGGAAAGTGAAGAGTGCCACAATGACCCACACCAGTGTGACATAGGACCCTGAGAGAAGTTTACATTCTGGCTTCCAACTCCAGAAATACTCAGCCAGAATCTAGCCCTGGGTTTTGTGTTTTAAGAAACCTTGTCATCTTTATGATACATACTCAGGACTGAGAAAACACAGTAGAGACTGCATTGATTTATCCAATATTTAGCTTGATTTCTGAAAACTTAGAGGTTATTATTCTTTTTAGCTTGTTGTCCTAATACAAAGTTCTTGATTGACTTTCTCACAGGTGTCTATGATAACCAGATCAATTTGTCAGGGTTTAATGGCCCATAATCCTTGCTATATTATGGGTTTGTTTGGGGAAGTGAGAGGATTTCTATTCTGGATCAAATTTCACTCTTGCTCATGATACTTAGCTCCTTAAAGCAGTTGTTTTCTTCAAGGCTATTCCTAGTCACCTTACAACTTCACCACTTGCCCAATGCTATGTTCTAATCATGTCCCAGGCCATGAGCTCTGCATCCATGGCCCCATTGCTTACCTCTTGTAGCAGTGAGCAGCAGACACCACCCATTGGTCATTGATGAGGGAACCTCCACAAAAGTGGTACCCAGAGTTCAGGGACACCTGGTAGGGCACAGAATTCTCTCTGCAAGTGTATCCTCCAACGATCTTGTCATCATCGTCAACAGGAAAAGCAACTTGAATGGAGATAGGAAATGAGAAAAAAAAAAAACAATTTATCAGGGTGCTAGATAATGAAGCCATTGGCTCCACGGCAGCTTAAACCCTTAGGATTTTTACTGAGCACGGTGAGTGTAGGAAAACTCAGATCACTGTGTCTTATGGGTAACATAGATTGTAGAGCTTCCTACTACTGGCTTCTGTAGGACAGACAGAGAGTTCCCAAAAGCCCCAGATCTCTTCTGAGCATCAGGGCTGGGCTAACAGGAACTACCTAAGAACACAAACAGTGGGATCCCATTACAAGTCAGTTTTGCACACGGCTTGCTGTACTTTTCATCTATTATTTGTTTTTGCCACTTGTATGTTGGCTTTTAGAGTCTCACAAGGAAAAACAACTAGAGAGGAAACAAAAGGAGCCAATTCATCAGGCTATTGGAGGGTGGATTGCACAGCACCATATCACCTTCCCACTGTTTTAGTATTACTATCTGAGCAGAATGACTAAGAGAGAGCATGGAAATCACTGTCCTCAGTAGTCATGACTTGGATTCACTATCTGCTGTGGAAAGGACTGCAGGGGAGGTAAGTGGATCCTAGTAGGCTCAGAAATACTCAGCGTTCAAGGAAAAGCATAGAAGAAATGACCTGAGAACACACTCCAAAGGGTCTGATTACATGTCAGTTGCGTTGCTTCCCTCTGAAATTCATCAAGAACTATGTTGTTGGATTTCCAGTATAGTTATTGCTGAGGAATGTGTCACCTGACTCGTTTTATGCACCCTCATTTTTGCCTCCCTTTCTGCCTCAGTAATCCAGGCCCTGAATTCAACAAAGGATGTTGTGGAGAGTGTATTGAGGGAGCTAAGAGTAAACTAAAGCCTGGGATGTTACAAATATTGTAAATAAGATGCTGGAGAAGGTTGGACCCGGCTTGAAACTCACCAGCAGCTCCCACAAGGGCCAGGACCAGGAGTGCATTCATGGTGGCAGAAGGTAGTGAGGTCTGAATGGGAGCAGGCTTTTATAGGACTGGGGATGGAAAATACCATTGTGGAGTTGGGGTGTGATGTCATTGATTCTTACTGAACAAACACACCAGTATTTTCCCCTTCTGGATTCTTATGTCAACTCTTTGGTTTCTTGGCAGTCAGAGACCTTCAGATGTCAAGAAAAAAATTATTCTCAGGAAAAGGAGAGGGAAACAGCTCTAAGGATGCTAGAATGGGGGAAATAATCATAGTCATATTATTACACACTTCTGCTTTACTCTATTAAATGCATGGGTGTTGAAGAAGAAAGACCCTATGGTATGCTTAGAAATTCATGACTAGAAATCAGAAGAAAACCCACAGAATCAACTAGCCTGGGCTCATAGGGGTTTATAGACACTGAACAGTCAGTCAGTGAGCATGAATGGGGCTGACCTAAGCCTTCTACATATATGGTTTAGTAGTGTGGCTTGGTCTTCTTGTGGGCCTCCTTGCAGTGGGAGCAAAGGTTGTCTCTGAATCTTGTTGATTTTGTGGACCCTTATCTTCACCCTGGGCTACCTCATCCAGCATTCAACCTAATATACTATGTTTTGTTGCTCCTCTGAATATAAACTGAGGAGAGTATGGAAGGTAGATAGAGGGGAAATGGGATTGGAGGACTCGGAAAAGAAGAAGGAGGAGAAACAGTAGAAGAGTGTTTAAATAAATCAATAAATAAATATCAAAAATAAAGAAATCCCTTGATGTAAGGTTGCTTTTAGTAACTTTGAAGAAGGTCTAATTCTGGTTGATAAAGGGACTCTTTGAACAGCACTAAGCCCAAAAGTTTATCAGTGGTTCCTAAATTCATTTGCTCTGATCTTAGCTCATCATCTTAATACTAAGAAGAAATAATAGATCTCTGTGGACCAGCACAGGGACATCAATGATGTAAAGAAAGGAGATACAGAGTTACTAATAAGATGGGTTTTAGAGAATGTTCTTTCAGACCATGCCCATGGATATTAGACTTGTTGGATGAGAATGATGAGGGTTGGGTAGGAATTGGCTTACTTGGTAGGGAAGTAGAAAATTACATGAATAAGATGGTCAAATTTTGCAACAGTTTCATGATATTTGCCTCTCATGCTCATGTCATAATAAGGGTACCCAGGAACCTTGAGAATATACAAACAATACCATGGGTATATTCCCTGATCATTCCAAGGATTATCAATGTTGCCCTGGATAATTATATTAAAAGAAAATACCCTGTTTTCTAGGCCAAATTGCCTGTGCTAGAAGTCTATACTCATTTTGAAGAATAGAATGTCTTTGGGCAATGTTCAAAATGATCCTGAACAAGAAAGATGTATAGGTAGAATGGGAGGATTATGGATATTTCTATTGCATATGTAACAAAAATGTCATTCTGTGGTCAGTCAGTTCCTGTGTTGAACCCAGCTTTTTTTTTTCAACTTAAATCATCTCTAAGACTCAGTTTCCATTTTACTACAGTATAAACGAAACCTAGAAGGGCAATACCTGATGGTGTGTCAACTTGTGCCTATTTATAAGTAACAAATAGAGGATCCTTTCTATCCGATATGTTTCTCTTCATTGACCACAGATATATAGGAAATACATATTGGAGGTGAGATCACGTTTGAGTTTAGCTAACATAGTGGCAATTGGATTTGAGGGGAAGCAAACTGTGACTGGAAGATGAGGAACTGGAAATGAGAAGAAAATGCAGGAAATGCCAAATAAGCTTCATAACATTGGCAGTGGTCCTGTTACTGACAGGGCTGGATGAGAATCACATCCCTGAACAGACACTCAATGTTGTCATCTCTGTATCCTCTTTCTCATTTATTTCTCCTGGGTCATTCCTGAGTGGAAGGACTGTCATATTGCCATGTCTGTTGGGTTTTACAGACTATGCACACTTCCACTTTTTACAAACATGTTAGTTCTACTAGGAGGTGTTCAGAAAAAAAATGATTTGGATGGACTCTTTTTTGCCTGAGGTATTATCTAAAACTGACATGCTGTCTCAAGGCCATAGAAAGACGGGGAAATTGTTAGAGCACGTGAGACCAGCTGCAGGTGGTGCTAAATAGTTTGCTGACAATCAAGGCAGAGGTCCCAATGGGATGGAGTAAACTACAGCCTCATTTTTCTTCTGCCATTTGTCTTTCTGGAAAACATGAACACAGAATTTTCATTTTCCTTTAGTGCACGGTTTCTTGTGACCCTGTGTAAAGGGGACCATCAGAGGACAGGGTTGTTTCTGTATTTGGTATGTGAAGTCCTGTTGGCTCCTGGCATGTTCCTATGGAGTGGATATTCTTTGTGCTGTCTGTAGGAGGAAAGGTAGAAATTTATATGTTCTACATGGTTGCTCTCATATTTAAACCAATCTCAAATTTTATCTGTCACCTCTTAGTCATACCTTCCTTCTTTCTTGTATCTTTTACTACTCTGTCCTCCCACTATGTAACGTGAGAATACGTTCCTTTTTAATCTCAACTATTTTCTCCCATTGCTTTCCCCTAGCCTACTGTTACTTTCATGTCATGCTTTCATGTTATCCAATAAAATGGGCTGTTTGATTATGGAATCCAATATTGGTCTCTGTATAGTGAAGAAATCTTTTTGTTTTCTTCTCAAAAGCAGACATCTTAGTCAAAGTCTCTGAAGTCAAGGTTGGAAACAGGTAATCACCTAATTTAGGTAGATCTTTTCCTATTCCATTTGCTGCTACTTACTTTGAATGTGTGCATGACATGCAATATTCCTGCCCTAGATAGTTCCATTTGGAGATTTTTTTTATTCAGAGGTTTTATTCTAATCTGAAGGTAATGAGCAATCTCTGGGTTTGGAACTATCACGAATCATATGGGTTCCTGTGTCAGATGGTTAAATTTAAACTCTTCTGTGTTTGGGTATGCCAGCAAGTAATTTCTTGATTGGATAGTTTAGAAAACCAACAGCAGAATTGGGTCTCATCTTGGAGTGGCAGCCCATTTAAAAGCATACGGTAGAAGTAGGCTTTTGCTTGTTGTCTGCTTACCCCCACACCCAATGGCAAATTTATATATCCTAAAATATTGAGACATTGATTCACTGGTATTTTAACCTACTTCTTGGGAATCCAACATAGACTGAATACCAGAAGGTGACTCAGAATTCTCTAGGATCAACACCACATTTGCAATGCTGTGACAGCAAACCTCATAGACTGAACAACTCAAGAATCTTGGTCTATCTTTCTTGAGACATCCATTGTTTAACTACCTGGGACACAGCCTTTAAGCCACTCAAAACCCCCCTTTTACTATGTCTTCATTCATTCTATCAGTTCTGTTCCATTAGCAACCCTGACTAGTCCACTCCATGAGGTGGAACCCATTCCTGGCACTTCTAAATTGTCCAAGAACCTGAGACTCGGTAGTTTATAGGAACAGGGGAAAACTTGATGTTATAATTCACTATAAGAACATAGCAATGAAATATTTCTATAGCCATGGAGTTATACCTATAAACTTTCAACAGAGAATATTCTTCTTGTGGGAAACAGTAATGGGCACAGATACCAGCAACAGGACAACATGCTGAGTGTGAGATCCTTTTTGAGATCTCAGTTCTAAATGGGATATCTTCATCAAACCTTTCTTGAAGGCTCATGGATCTTTGTGTAAGTGGAGCCAAACAGATTTGAAGAACCAGAGGTAATGAATGTTACAAAGGTAACAGTAAATTCAAGATGCAACAGGAGTAATGCACATAGGAACTCAGAGTGCCTATGATAGCATGCCCAAGACCTGTACCAGTTCAAGATTGACAGAGTCATTCGGATTGAGATAAAGAATTGGACTAGGGTCCCAACTCTAGGCAAGAAGCTACTTGCAATTGATACCTTTGAAAGCAAAAATCAGTTTCCTCCAATAGAGTGTCACTGGATATACCAACCACACATTAGGGAAGGCCATATACCCATGTTCGTTGAACAGCAGAAAACGGTCTCCATAGTTTTTTTAATATACTTTTTTTTCTTGTTTGCATTCTCTTTTAGTATGCCTGTTGATTTTCATTTTTTTGTTTTATGTGTTTAAAGAGCAAGAAAGAACATAAATTTAGTTTTTAGGTGTGTAGTGTTAATATGTGCTGAGAAATATTATGATATATATTGCATGGACATGTTATGCAAAAATATTAATTGTTATAAGGGGGATTAAAATAAAGAATTGAATGAATCAAATTCAATGCTATACCAAACCAAGAAATTTAGTCATAAGTTATATATTATGAAAGAGAATCCATCTTGGTACTACAAACTATAAATCAAACAAAATTCAGTCAAAAGCATAACTAATGGAGTAGGCAAGCTGAAGGAAAGAATTTTAGATGTTTGAGACAATGTTGAGAAATTATTAATTCTAGAGAGTAATGATGAAAAAAAATCACCCATAACCAATGTCTAGGACATCTGAATAGGGGGTCAAACAACTAAGTATGTGGTGCTTCCTGAACCTCCATTCAATCAGGGCTAGCCAATGAGGATACTTTGGTTTTAGCCCAGGGAGACACTGATGAAGTTTAGGTACTTACGACCTCTCATTTTTATCACCTTACCAAATTTTGTTTCTTTTTTAAAAACTTTAAAAATTAATGTACAGTATTCTCTGGTTTACTGAAACATTTTCAAGCATGCATATCATTGTCCACTTCTGATATTGATTCTCTCCATTATAGTCTTTGATCTTCTCCACCTTATCCCTTGACCCTTTTTCTTCCCACTTGTCTTCATTCTATTTTCATGGATGTGTTCATCTTATGAGTGAATAATGTTGTTTGTGTTTTTGAGACCTGTATCTTTCACTTCACATGAAAAGCTCAATTTCCACACATTTTTCTTAGAAATAGCATAGTATTATTCTCTATCACTGAATTAACTCCATGATAATTATTTTTCAGTTTCTTAAATTCAATATATCACCCTGAATCTTTTAATTGGAGAGTTAAGAACATTTACAGTTAGTTGTT